TTATTTGTTTAGTTATTTGTATATTTGTTTATTTATTTGTTTACTTATTCATTTACTTATACACTTATCGACTTTAAAAATTATTTTTTTGCTTTGGAAATGTTCTTGCCCTTGTTCAGTCAAGTCTCGCTCCGTGGTGCGGTGTGGATGAATTGTCCTCTTGCTCCGACGTTTTTAAAGACAACGAGCGGCGTTTTGTTCTTTGTCCTCACACTCTGACCTTATTTTTCTCCAAAACGCGAGAGCATGCCAAAGACTAGTGCTGGGCGGTTAGGTTCCCGGTTATTGAAAGCTAGGAATCGTAGGAATCGACTCCGAACCCAATTACTTTCTTTCAGATGATGTGATTTCTTCCGGTGGTTACCTGGTTGGCTGGGAACATCTTTAGGGTTTATGACAACATTGCTTTTGGAACAATACGAAGCATCAACTTTTTAAAAAATAATTTTTTTAAATGGAAGAAGATTTTAATGATAAAAGTAACTGGTAACCGTTGGTTTACATGAAAAGGAGTCGGAATTTTTCTTACGTAGCATTAATCGTGGGAATCGGTTCCAGAATCGACCATCGCCCAGCTCTACCAAAGACTAATGGTTTTGTTGGGGGGGGGAAGATAGCTTTGTGTTGAGGGTTTTTTTTTTTTGCCATATCGGGGGGACAACATTTAATATCGATACCACCCTTTCATAACATCGTTGCTGAATGCACGTACACGTGACATTCCTGAAATTTTCCACTAGCAAAAAAGGCAAAATCATTCTATCTGCAAAAATAAGGATTTTGAGTTATTATTTCAACGTGAGACATTAAAAGCCATCGAATACTTTTTTTTTTCTTTTCTTTTGAATCCACATGACCTCCTTTGGTGGCATGGGACGGGTGCTACACACATTTTTAAATTGTGATATTTGCAATATAAAAATTGAGATTCTTCGTTATTCTCAAAATCGTTTTCCTCAAAATAATAGTTTGACAGATATGACTATAAAATATGACACCACATCCGTGATTTGAGATAGCCGCAAAACTCTATCAAGATCATTGTGTTATATTTACTGAAGTATAATAATGCTATCTTAAGAACATGTTTGTCACGTAGTATGACGTCATGTGCGGTGAAACGAGACACTGGGACGAAAAATTGCCTGTTTTGCATACTAGCAGTCGTGTAAGGGCAGTGTCTCAGTTCTCTTACGTTAGAGAATGTAACAAGCTGTCTGCGTTCTCTAACGAATCAAAAAAAGTAACAACATTAAGCCTGTAGGGCCCTATTTGAACTTCCGGACAAGGCTAGGCTTCTTCTTAATCTTTCTTTTTTTCCAAATTGACTTGTATTATGTTTTGTCGTTAGATCTACATCAAATATGTCCTCAATTCACTCATTTGGGTTATATTGGGTTATTTCATGCACTAGATCTAGGCCTATCGTAGACCTAGCGTTGATATGACTGACTTAACCTTGACCAACGTGATTTGATTTTATGACAGTGATATCACATCACGCATCAAATCGGCAATGTTTTTATACACCTGTGAATTTGATATCATTTATGATCTCTCCCGTCGTTGTATCTCATAGGCCTACCTTGGCTTTGAGGTGGGAATGCGAAATCGCGTGTAAACTGCAAGTTATCTTCTAAATACTAATTACAGAAGGCCTGATCTTCAGTGACTTATTCAAATTTTTAGGGGGGGGGGGGGAGCGTCAGAGTGCACCTTCCTTGTAGGCCTACAACATATTATTATGAAAAAGGGAGGGGGGGTATCATCTCGATAGAATGAAAAATATGTGTTGGTTGCTTGTTAGGGGTTTAACGTCGCTGTAAAAGCAAGATGCGGTACTGTAGACAGCTTTACTTTCGCGAGCATTTTAATCTCGCGAAAGTAAACTTAATAGCTCGCGAAAATAAAGTGTAAGCACTGTGGAAGCAGCAATGTCGACTCGTTTCCATGTTAGATAGAGCGAACGAGTTATGTTTAGGTTCTCTACTAACATTAGAAAATGTAGACAGCTTGTATACGTTCTCTAACGTTAGAGAACGTAGACACTACCCGTGTAAAGAGAGGTAAAATGTAGCCACTTTTGAAGTGCATAAAAATACCCAGACTGCTTTCTCATTAACTTCAGAGAACGTCAACGGGAAACTAAAGGGTACAATAGCTTTCCATGACCAAAAATCATAGAGTGATAAATAACAAAATACATTATAGCAGTATAAAGCGTATATCCTCATTCGACAGTAAATATTAACACTATAAAAATACAAACTCATAGAGATATCAAGTAAACCCCTGGATCTAGTGTTTCGCTTTCAGAATAATACAGCCGAACCTGCTCTAAGATCACCGGTCCATGACAATTGCCTTTACAAACAAATACTTTCCACATCTCCTCTTAGAAGTTGTTGGGTTTTTTTCCCTGTTTCTTAAGATGACCACTTTTTCTCTTTGACAATGGGTAGTCGTCTTGAATAGGTTCCACTGTATTTTTTGTTAACTATATTGTTTACTATGTCTACAAAGCTGAGGATTTTTTACTCAAATGAGAAGTCAGTTCTGTTGCATGGATATGAGTCGTGAAACGCATCTCAGTCGTGCATAAAGAGGATCCAGGTTTTCCTGAACAAGTGTCTGAGGAAGCTATTGAGGATCAAATGGACAGACAGGATCACAAACGAGGAAAATATGAAGAAGAACGAGACAGAGCCCAGTCAAAGATGAGGTGGAAAGACGGCGTTGGCGATGGATTGGACATACTTTCAGGAAGTCAAGCAGCTGCTTAACAAAGAAAGTGTTAGATTGGAACCCACAGGGTAAAAGATCAAGGGGAAGACCATGTGGAACCTGGAGAAGAGTCACGGAAATGGATGTACAGAAAGTGGGAAGACATGGAGTGATATCAAGCGACTCGCCCGGGAGAGGGAAAGGTGGAAAGTGTTTGTTCGTGGCCCATATCGTGATCCAGGGTGAGAAAGGCAATGATGATGATGATGTTGTTGGGCTAGTACAAATATATATAATATTAAATAGTTTTAAAAAATCTAATTTCCTTCCAATTTGGTGCCATTTTATATTGCATCTGGACAGACGTGTAAACGAAAGGTAATCGCAGGACGCCAGAACACACGTTAGAGGAGTCGGTAGACATGGCATAGACAATAATATCGTTATCCAAGACATCACGTGCTCACGTGCTATGATGTCCGTTTCCAATACTAGGCCGACTTTTCTGCTTGTCAACAATAATCAACTAATCTCTCGATGACCTGGATTTCTAAGACTATTGCCCATTTCTGTAACTTCTGTGTGTGCGTGTGTGGGGTTTGTTTTGTTTTGTTTTGTATTTGTTTGGGGGGGGGGGGTTGGTCTCTTTTTGTTTTGTTGTGTATTTTGTTTGGTTTTGTTTCCGTTGTTGCTTTCGGGGTTGTTGCTTTTTTTGGAGGTGGGGGGGTTGTTTTGGGGTGGCTGGGTTTTTTGTGTTGTGTTGTGTTTTGTTTGTTTGTTTGTTTGTTTGTTTATTTGTTTGTTTCGTAGATAATTTTTTTGGTCTCTGTGACTGTACCTTTTTCTTTTGTTCATAGATTACTACATAGTTATCTATCTTTTATTTCATAGATTGTTGCCTAGTTTCTCGACTTTTCTTTGTCATAGACTTTCGTCTTCTTTTGTAACTTATATTTTGTTTCTTTTGGAGGGGGGTGCTCAATTTTTTTCTTATTTTTTAGAAGTTTAATGCTTCCCAGAAAACTTAGATAGTTCCAGAAAGCTATCAGGTCTGCTTGGGTCGTAGTATAGATTGTTAAGCGCAGAGAGCTTGTTGTTGAGCAGGTATTTGCGCTGTACAATTGCTGTCTTTTTAAGCATTACTATCTCAGGAAGTTGACGGATAACATCTGCAATTAGTTGTTTCATCTTTGCGTTCCCCTGCTAGTTCTTACGGGGTATGGCTTGTTCTTCAACTTACAGCGCTACTGGTTTCTACGTTTGTGACCGTTTTTCCTACGTCATAGGATTAGCTGTTTTCTAGATAATACCGAACTGGATGTTGTAGTGCAGTCAAAGTTAAACAAGAAGAGAAAGCATATACATTGTCATGTATTTCTGGTTGCGTCGTCTGTGGGATGGAAACATCCAACAAGTTTCGAGTGAGCTAAATAGGCCAGCCAGTTTGTTCCAGTTAGCTGTCTCGGTCTCCTGGCGGCATGCAAGGGCCCTGTATGTCTGCGGCACACCCTTATTATTCATATATTCATATTGTACCGATTGACAAATACCCATGCGGGTGACTTGAGGGCGCCACTGATAGGTCCCCTTTTCTTGTCTTTCTTTCTGTTGTGCCCGTCTGTCACTTTTACTCTTTCCCTGCGCTAGATGAACAATATTGTGTCGATTTGTTTCTCTTTATTCACAAAAAAGTACCGGCCAAATACCTATTTCCAGCTGGGAGGAAGGAAGAGTGTAAGGTTTTAAGTACGTGTCCCAAATCATAATGTCACCTAATTTGTCTACAAATGAAACTTCCGACACAGAGGTGTAAAGAAACGAACCCACAACTTTAAAAAAATTGAAATTCGAATGCCTTCAGGCGCAAAGACGTTAGGCCAAGACCCGCCCACTTTGCCTGTCTGTATTTTATTGGTCTAAGTCATTCAGAAGTAGTAATACACATCTGTTTGCCCCTACCTGGTCCATTCTCTAAAAAAAAAACTGTTTCGTTTTTCTTTGTTTGTTTTTTGTTTGGGTCTTTTTTGGGCAAGTGTTTTACGGCGCTCGCAACCGCATAAAGTCATATGAGGTCATTAAACTATCAGTTGGTAGGAAATTTTGAATTTTGCCCGGGTGGCGGCCGAAGACTACTCTTATCGATTTTAGACCACCAAGGGATCTTTAACGTGCGCAACTTGCGAGATTTTTCGCCCTTGTCCGAAACGGCTAGGTGTAGATATTTCCTACCAGAAGATAAGGGGTGTGGCTGAAAGACAACAGTAAGAAGGGGCCAA